GGAGTGACTCAAGTAGGGAGGGGGTAGTCTGGGCAGGGTATATGGCTCTTTTAGGATGGAGATAGGCTCAAGGTTGTCAGGGTTAAGTAATATGGTTTGGGGTTGGAGAATTCATTCCAGAAAGGATCGTAACACTTAGACATGATTCCACTGATTTGTTTAAGGATTTGAGGATCAGGTGTAGTACTAGGGGATACAACATCATGTAATTTACTTTAGTGTGTGTACAAGTGTGTGTGTGGGGGGGGGCACGGCTTGTCTAAGAGGTGGTATGTGTTCCCTCCGTGAGGCATGTTTAGGCAACTAAGTGAAGAATGAGGCTGGTGATGATGAACTCTGAACAATAAAATTAAATTGCATCAACTGCTGCCAAGGAATTCACCCTTAAAATTTGATGCCTTTGGTTAACTTTGTCACTGTCAAGGAACCATCTCAACCAAAAGCTCAAGCTTGTGGTTGTGGCCCAGGAACAATTATTTATATTCTAACACGCCCCCTCACGTGCAGCCGTAGTCTTTTTCGAGCCTTGCAGGTGAAACCTTATTTTTTTTTAAACTGGGTGGGGCGCTGAGTTTTGAACCGGTGACCTCTTAGTCAACGAGACTCTGATACCATGTCAAGGAACCATCTCAACCAAAAGCTCAAGCTTGTGGTTGTGGCCTAGGAACAGCTGTTTATATTCTAACAGTCACTTCTTTGTTATCTGTATGGACTATTTTGTGCTGCATTAATCTCTTTTTGTCATATTTTTGTTGTCTACTGCCTTATGGTGCTTTGTGCATTAGCAATAATGACGAGAACTATGATGATAGTTTTCTGTCATCGTATCATCATGAATGATGATGATGATGATGATGATGATGATAAGAGTATCTAAGTGTTTTGCATGTCCAGTTCTTTTGAAAATCCTTTGTGTCCATGCATGCTCCATGTATGCAGAATCCATATGAATGATTTGAAGTGAGCCATAATGCTCAATTGTGTATCTCTTAAATGCCAGGTGGTTCGTGACAAAGTGAGCACTATGGCGCAGTCCTTGGAAGTTTCAGACATGAAAATTACAAACTTGATTAAGTATTTTAACAGTACTATAAAAATGAAAGATGAACTAAACTGTAATGACACTATTGCATTTGTAAAGGAATTTCTGGTGAAGAGAAAACGTTGTGGATTCTTTCATCAGGAGATGCAGGTATGCAGTTCTGCTGTTTCATTTGTATGCCCAGAGTCATGGAGATTATTGGGTGTTTTACTAAGTTATTCTCTCTTCTCTCTAAGATGTTTAATATTCAGAGCATTAGGAGTAGTCCTGATCATCACATTCTCGTCCTCAACTACCTTGGGATCCTTGTTCAAAGGTCTTCTTATTATCTTTTAAATCCATTTTTTAAAGAAGATTAGAATACTTTTTGGCTTTGAAATCTTTGCTCTAACCAAACTGGTTTCATGTGTGTCACAGTTTGAACATAGCTACTGGCTCAACTTCAAGCATTACCATTGTTAACGAACTTGATGATTCTGCCATTACAAAAGTAATGGCTATAAAAATATCATTTATCTTGGATTTGTATGCTTTACTCTGTTTACCTTTCTTGATTTACTTCAGTCTTTTATATTTCTACCCAGTAGAACTTCCGCAATATGGATGCTTACACTGCATTTTCATTTGTGCTGGAGGATGAGATATCCAGGAAGCTTGTTGGTGCTAGAAGTCTAGCCCAAGAGATTCAGGTGATCTTGCTATTCTGTTTGTGCATCGGTTTGCATCTTCTTCTTTTTTTTTGTTAAATTAAAAAAAACAACCAGCAAAAGCATATAGTCCGTATCTTTTAATAATTAGTGTAATTGACTTCCAATACCCATAGACTTCTCATACATGTAATGAGAAAGAAATACTGTTGAGCATAAATAATTTGGAGTCAAGGGACGCAAATCCTTGATACTTTTTGCTGATAGTACTGCCTGATAATTCTAATCACTTCACATCCATCAATGTAATGATTTCATGGCCACAAGATTGTTGTACTTTGTATGCAGGTGACTCAGTCCCTTTTGGGCAATTTGATTGATGTGATTCAGGAGGCACAGTTGGCACGGAGAGAGCTTCGCAACCTGATTGATACTCGCTTTTGCTCTTCTAATGGTAAATCCATTGTCTTCTTTCATACTCAGTTCAGAAATTATCCAGATAAGGTTTGTCCTGTATCTTCTCTCATGACAATCACTTGGAGGATCGTTTGGAATTCAGAAAATGACAAGGGAAGAAAACAGGGAAAAAAGTATATGAAAAAATTGGAAGAAGGAGGGGGGGGGGGCGAATAGAACCTCGGTTCAATAAATTTTTGTCAACTATTCATCTAAATATTGTTTAAGCCAATGTTATATTTCAAAGGATGACATCAATCTTATTGTAATGAAATGTTTTATTACAAGTCACATGATGATATATAATTGTTTTGAAGCAGCAACTTGGTAATTGGTTAACTTTCACAATTATAGTTGATGTTTTTGTATGTGGACATTAGTTTTGACTTTCAACTTAATGTGGGCAGATGACGAACTTGATCTGCAACTTACTTTCATAAGCCTAAAGAGTGGCATCAAGGTGAAAGCAACACTTGTCGTCTCATCCTTGAGTAGGTATGTGCTTTCTGGTTGGGTTATGTTTGGATGTGACTTTTAGGAGTATAAGAGTGGCAAGAGTGCAAATCGCACCGAAATATTGTTTTTGATGCAATATGCACTCTCAGAGACAGAACACAAAATGACACAAGGAATTTAACACTAGACAATAGTTTGCAAGGCCAAACACTCCCTACCTCCTCCCTTCACACTTATGCATTGAAAAATAGTGGTAAGGTAAGTAGTGGTGGTGGTTTATGAAGTGTTTTGTGGGTCTATTTTGTGCACAGAGGGATCTATCCTTCAGAGACTATCCCATCCGTGGGGGCAGCCCGAGCTGATGGGACCAAGTGTGACGATGAAGCATTTCTTTGGGGGATTGATAATGCAGTGAAGAGCGTAAAACCAGGTCACTTCAGAATTATACGGTTATGTCGTTCCATTTCCAATGCTATTTGATCTTGTAAAACTATAGCTTATTCGCCGAGATTCGAGACGTGTCTCTTTGCCCTTCTCAATTTATCATTTTGTCTATAGAGTGCATTTAATTACTGCGTATTTGTCTCCCTTTAATCACACAGTTTTGTTTTCGAAAATCTCTGTTCTGTTAATTGGGACTGGATGGTGTACATAACAACATACACTCATATCTCAGTATATTCGTTCAATTTGACTTTTTCGAATCAAACTGAACGAACTTTAAATCTCAATTACTCTCTATTTGTATTACGCGTTACTATGGAGTACAATGTAATAAAATTCCGGGTGGTATATGACAGGTAATTACCCGACGGATATTCAACACATTTAGAATCACAATTCCATCTGTCCTACTAACCCGTGATAGTATGATTTTTAAACTCATAGTCACCCATTTCCCATGAATGTAGTATCCATGTCCACTCCAAGTGGAGCGGGGGATGAGGCAGTGACATGATCTGCAATTTTATTCGTCTAACTGTATGATGTTTGACTGAAGTTATTTTTAAATCATTTTATATGAAAAACGATGTAGAATTTCAATATAAAAATTGCATATTTTAAAACTATATAAAAAAATCTACAAAATTAGAGGTGACATGACTATATTATTTTATTAAACTAACAAAAATAAAGAAATTGAATGAAGCTTGACTCTGTGAATAGTAAATAAGTAATTTAATTTGGAACGGAGAGAGTATTTTTTTATTTTACACTAATTTTTAGGACGGCTTAGTCTATATCAAGATTTTACACTAATTTTACAAATATGAAAATAATTCTAAGTGAAATTTATATTCATACTTGATTGTTATTAAAATAGTTATCGAATCTTAAATGAATATTCAAATGATTATAGTTGAAATGATGTGTCGATATTGAATTTAATTTCATTAACATATGTAATATTTTTACGATATCTAACATTTATGCGAACGTGTCAATCAAAATTTAAATTTCACAATATATAATTATTGGAAATTACGGAGTACATATTATATATTTTTTTATTACACTAGTTTGATCAAATTTTAGTAATTTAGCTTGATAGAACAATACACTAATATGTTTACCTACAATGGAATACTTTATGAGAATATACACACTCGGTCCACAAATAAACTTCCAATTCACTATCCACAGGGTCAAACTTTATTCACTTTGTTGGCCTATTTTCCTCACTCATTTGATAAAATAATATAATCATGTCACCTCTAGTTTTGTAGATCTTTTGATATAGTTTTTTAATATGTAATTTTTATTTTTAAATTTTACACCATTTTTTATTTAAAACAATTTGAAAATAACTTCAGTCAAACATCGTAACGCGCAACGAGAAGTTTATTTGTGGACGGAGGGAATAGTTAATAATAAGTTGAACAGAACAAACGCTTTATTGGTTAGGCCTTGAGCAATGAGTACTTGTTACATCAATATGTTCAACCATCAAGTCAAGAACCAATCAGCAATACAGATGTAACCAGCAATTCAATACTGTAGTAACTAAGACTAGACTACTTGGTCCATCTCTCATGGCCCTTCATCTAGAGCCAGCTTACTTTTGCATTCTCGATGAAAGTAAAAAAATCGATATCCTGGCGAAGTGTTTGATGAGTTGCAGAGTCCATTGATTCATTTTCTCCTGATTTTGACTTTAAGAGCCCATTGAAGCTTCCCCTCAGGCAAAGGGATGGACCTAGGCAGCCGTAGTGGCACTTCAAACTCGCCCAAAGTGGACAAGGGAGACGGCAAATGCACATTTTCAGGTTCTATGCTCACTGAAAGCTGTCTTGCAACCTGTTCAAGGGCGGAAAAGACATTTACGAGACAGCATTTCTTTGTTCACAAGGTCTGAGTATAAGACTCCAGCTTTCAATTTCCTTTTATAGACAGAATTCTGTTGGGTCAAACTCGGAACCTTTTCTATGGAACTCGAGGAGAACTGTAAACTTTCGTCTTTATCTACTGCCCCCTCCATCCCACAATGAAGTTTACATTTTGACTTCACAAAGTTTAAGTGTTGAAAAATGAAAAGTGTGAGTAGAATTTGTTTAGAAGATATAAATAATTTGAGCTACATATTCCTTTCATAAATAGAAAATTCAAAGTGTAAAGTTTATTTTTATTTTGGGTCGGACGAAGAAAGTAGTGTAAGCACCATTGCAGAGCAGAGGGAGTATAGAGCACAAGTGAATCACAATAGAAAAAAACCATAAAGGTATAGAAAAAAGCAGAAGACACAATGGTACGAAAGAAAGACATATTTCTCTCAATGGACATGGCGGGAAAAGAGCAAAACAACGTAAAACATCTGTACCAAAAGAATCTTACCTCAGCAATAATTTCTTCTTTCGTCACGGGTTCTCGTATTTCATAGTCAACTTTGATGAACTTCCTCAAAACCTAAAACAGAAGCGAGTTGGATTAAAGAAAAAAATGAATGTAATGGATGGGAAACAAGTGCTCCGTAGTTAGTGTTCATAGCCCGTAGAGTTTCTAAGATTGAAGTGTCCAGATGAAGTGTTTAAGAGGAGTTCAAGGGAATGGCTTAGGACGGCTTAGTCTATATCTTGATGATTTTTTTTGTAAAAACAAATTAGAAGTAATTGAATTGTTATACGAACACACATTATGTTGATCTTCCAATTGTTAAAAAACTTCATACATTTCAAGATGTAGACTAAGTCCATCAATATACCCCGTCCAAACAAATCCTAAATTGCACAACAGAGTATAATGTATAACAGCCATCACCCACAAAAGACAAAGCCTGGGCATTTCATCGTAAAGAAAAAATATCGGCATTTGGCAAGAAGTTACCCACCACCATAGTTCTGTCGAGGCGATTGGCTGCTGTCTGGTATTCTTTCATCTTGTCTTCATTGGTTTGTGAAACAACGTTAACTTCTGCATCTTCTTTTGGTTGGTAAATCTATCAAAGATGATAAGATATCATGTTTTAAGTATTAAGAGTAAGCACATCAGAAATAAGGGCAACACTACATGCCACACCGAATGGAAAAAATTGAGAGTAACCATGTATTCTATTTATTATAGGAAGAAACAAGACATACTACTTCGCATATATGAAGTCATATACTCATTTTCATTCAGTTGGGCCTGCAATTAGATGAAATCTTCAAAAAAGAAAAAAAGAAACCATCTGAAATATAATACTCCCTCCGTCTGGATTTAGTTGTCCAATTTCATTAAAAAAATCTCATTTTTAAAAAATGAGTTTAAAATGTCAAATAAATCCTGCAAATGAGTTTGTCACTCATTCATGTAAACAATAATCATACCTTATCTTTAGGATATTCGAGACATGATTTCTTTATTTGATATAGAAAATGAAAAGCTTGTTCCGGATAATTTTAAACAAAAAAGTGGACAAGGACGGAGAAAATAGTTAAAATACATGACTTTCAAAAAGCACACTGCAGTCATATAACTTCCTTAATCCATAGAATAATTATAATAGAAATGTGAAACACGGGAGAGCAAATTGCACAAAGATACATGTAAATAAGAAAAGGAAACCATTGTTTTGATGGTTCACAAACCTTGCTCTGATCTTTGAGAAGATACCTATACTTGTGAATGTTTGGGACAGCAAGCAGTTTTGGCATCAGATGGTTCCGGAAAAACCCCGGTGCAACTTTCACCGTATCACCGGCTTTTCCAAGCTTGTCGATGCTCTAATACATGATGAAACAAATTATGAATTAAACCTAAAATAAAGTGTCTATAGACCTGTTGGATTTTACCAAAAAACACCAACAAGAAACTCACATTGGTGAGAATGACTTCCAATTTCCTATGACGGACACCCTGAACGGCATAGAACAGTGGATGCTGGATCCCTCTCTCCGATGCAGACAACTGGTGGCGGATGACATTTCTACCAATTTGTGCATAGGCCATCATTTAGGGCTGTCAAGTGGGAGTCAAAGCAGCGACCATCAAAGACGGCAAGGAAAATGTAGGGGGGCCTTAGAGAGGGAAAAAAACTGCACTACAATAGCAAGGCAGCAGGCTGCAATTGTCTCGTTTATTTTATTTAGTTTACAATATCTCAAACATCCCCTACCATTAATAAAATTGTGAAAAAAACTATGGCCCTTTACAATGTGCATGTCTTGTTTAATTTAACAACACAAGAAATTCATGGATGCCCTTTCTGACAATATGTTATAATTAGAGATTTAGAGGTGAGATGATCTCAATCCCAAATACCAAAAAACCTGATCATGTCCCAATCATGATTAGATGCCAAAGATGATCCTGAATCTTGACCTGACTAAGTTGAGATCCTACAGGCTATAAAATTGGGATTAAGTCAGATCTCAATTGGGAAACTTGATACTCCATAAATCCCAAAATATTACTAGGAGCCAACCTAAGTGACAATGTGGCAACCTATATATAAAATTTTAAATACTCTATATATAAATAAATAATTAATAAATAATTTATAAATTATAAAACAAACAGTCAAACATTAATAAGTACCAAAACACCAAGCCAAAAGTTTAAACATAATGTGAGGTGATTAGATGAATATCCACCAAGAGCAGTTGAAAACTTCAAAAATATGCACAACAATATTTTAGTTTATAAAATTAACAATGGAAAACATAAATAAATCATGAGTTTTGAAAAGTACAGAGTGATATACATTGTATGACGGAGGGAGCATACTTTTACTGTTGCTCTCCAAATGCTCTCTCTAAAAAAGGTCTTTGAGTAAGTGAACCCCTTTAATGGGGAAAAATATCTCAAATCCTCAATTTATTATTTTCTTTTTCAAGTAAGTCATTTTAAAGAATCTTAAAGAAATATTAGACTTCTAATAGATTCGTTATACCTTGAACTACTATGTAAAATGGTATATATATGAAAAGAAAATTTAGATAATACTGATCAGTAATATTTTTATTGAATTAATGCATTTAAAAAACATCTTAGGAAATAAATATTGTAAACCTATTTTATCAAATGACTCATTTCTCAAATCAATTAAGAGGCATATATGCGGTGTATATTTAAGAAATATTTTAGGAAATTATTCAAATCTGTCATAAAATTGTTGTTAAAAATTTTCAAACCTCAAAATCATCCACAATTAGAATGTATTTCAAATCACTAATATTATTAAGAAATTGATGTTAATAAAATAAATGGATTACATATTCAAATCATATTCATGTGTTTATTTGAA